GGGGGCGGCCGGGCCGAGGCCTCCTCAGCGCTCGCGGGCAGCCAGGGAGCTGCCCCTGGCCTGGCAGGGTTCTCGCCAGGGAGGGCGTTTGAGTTCCCCTCGCTCTGGCTTCACTGGAGTGGGGTGGTGTGTGCACGTTCTGCCCTCAGTCATCTGCCTGGCAGTAAGCAGCTCTCGCAGCTCTTTTCGATAGAAAGGAGCACAAATTCTGTCTGACAGCCTTCTGTTCCCAATGCTGTGCCCTGTTCCAGGTCCTGTCTTTGGCAGCAAGGACAACTTTCACGGACTGGCTATTTTCCTTGATACGTACCCCAACGATGAAGCGACAGAGGTGAGTGGTTCAGGGAGCTCGTTCAGCACTGACGAGGCTGTTTCCTCGCGGCTTCGTGCTCCGAGTGCTTCATGCCCGGACCACGGAAAAGTCTCTCCTTATGTGAGAGTGCGCTGCTCTTCCCGTCCTGGGAGCTGGGAAAGGGAAGAGTTTGAATGTGCGTTAACAGAGATGAGGAGGTCTTTGTTCTGCCTTCTGCTGCTGTTGACTGACACGGATGTTTCCAAGGCCTTTCCCCATCTGCATGAGAGGGTGCCACAGAGCTGTAGCTGGTTGAATTCAGCATTATACAAGTAGAGAGCTAATAAGTAAAGTTAGAGGAAATTCATCCTGAGCGCCATTTCCTGAGCTTCTCTGTGGTTTGGTTGCTCATTCCGTGTTGTTTCTGGCCTTGCTCTCTGTTTGCAACCCGGGTATCTCTGAAATAGAAACTCCCAGCTTTTTGCTCCAGAATTCCCCGTGGCCGAAATACAGATCATGGCTCCTGTGGAGACTGTTGGTCCTTTTCTTCTCTCCTGCCCCATGTCTGTGGATCTCATTACGGCACAGTCGGAAAACGTAACTCTGCGTGTCAGATCTGTTGTGCCAAAAACGTGTCACCTAAGTCACAAAGCACCTGGCCATGACCCCATCCGCCTCTGGTTTGATGCTCACTGGGAGGTGAGTTCTTGCCTCCAGTGTTTACTCTTCTGGAGTAAGTAATCCTCTTGACGACAAAGCCCTGAGCGTGGTCATGCTGCTCGTGTGAGATTTCTACCCATTCTGAGTCCTGTGCTCTGTTCTGACACTTCTTACCCGGTCTGGTGCTTGCTCTGCAAGTCTGGGGTGGTCTCGTTGCCCCAGCCGTGCGCTGTGCTGTGGGCTCAGGGGAGGATCTTGATGCAGAAGGTCAGAAATGGCAGCTCGGCTTTAGCCAGAACAAGCTCTCACTCCGTTTAGCAGCAGCTTTATGTAGAAAATGAGCCTTGGTGTCATCGTTCTGCCCTCCCTACCCGACTGCGCAGCAGAGCTGTTGTTGCTGCGCCTGGCGGAGCTCCCGCTCTTGCTGAGGTTCTGACCAGGCAGGGGAAGGTGGCTCTCGGTCTCGCAGGCTCCTGCAGCCTGGCAGCAGCAGCGCTCTCCTCCCTGCAGCGCGTGTTCCCCTATATCTCTGCGATGGTGAACAACGGCTCCCTGACGTACGACCACAGCAAGGACGGGCGCTGGACGGAGCTGGCGGGGTGCACCGCTGACCTGCGGAACCAGAACCACGACACTTTCCTGGCAATTCGGTACTCCCGAGGCCGCCTGACGGTGAGCTGTGGCGGAGGAGGGTGTCTCGCCTGTTAAGATGGGGCAGGGGTTGCTGTGTCAGGCCCGGAGATGGTTTTCCAAGCCCCACCACCCACCTTTCCTGTGCCTCCGGCTCCTGAAGAGCTGCGGGGTGGCGGCGGGTGTCCGTGGTGCGATGTTCTCCTGGTCTTGCAGGTGATGACCGACGTGGAAGACAAGAACGAATGGAAGAACTGCATTGACATCGCAGGGGTGCAGCTGCCAACCGGCTACTTCTTCGGTGCTTCCGCTGGCACTGGAGATTTGTCTGGTGAGGGGAGGCTTTGCTTGCAGGCGTGCTTGGAGCCCGGGAGCTAATGCTACGGGTGCATCGTACGGCTTTGATGGCTGCTTCTCCCTGAATTGTGAGAATCTTGAAATCCTGTTGGGTAGGGAGCTGTGGCCTGAGAATGGAGGCACCTAAAAACTGAGGAACATCTGAAATTGCAGTTTGATACCTGGGGTGTAAGGGTGGCTTGAGAGGGAAGGAGAGCTGGACCTGGCAGAGCACGGTCCCGGGGATGCTCTGAGCGCGTGGACATCTCCCGGAGCTTCTGACGGTGTTTGGCACTGATGGTTGTTCCCTAGACAATCACGACATCATCTCGATGAAGCTGTTCCAGCTCATGGTGGAGCACCCTGCAGAAGATGAGACCATTGACTGGACCAAGATTGAGCCGAGCGTCAGCCTCCTGAAGTCGCCTAAAGGTGAGCCTCGGGCCTTCAGAAGCCATCGGCGGAGGACGGGGACGTGGGGGTGGACTCTTGAAAGGCCTCCCTGCGGGAGCTGCGGCTGCGTCGGTCTCCATAGCTGCTCGTGTCCTTGCAGACAACGTGGATGACCCGACGGGGAACTTCCGGAGCGGGCCTCTGACGGGCTGGAAGGTGTTCCTGCTCCTGCTCTGCGCGCTGCTGGGCATCATCGTCTGTGCGGTGGTGGGAGCCGTCGTCTTCCAGAAACGCCAGGAGCGGAACAAGCGTTTCTACTAGCGCAGGACCGGGGGCCTGGGCCCCGACCCGTCTTTCCTATGGGGAGCTGTAAAAACTGTGGTTTCTAAAAGCTGTTTCTGAGAAATATCAGAAGTATTTTCTTATCTGTCTGGCTGGCTGTAACCCCTGCCCGGCGTCGGGCCCATTGGACCCTGGGGGGTGATTGCTGCTGGGACCCCCACCTCACACGGAGGCCCCCCCTTGCCCCCGGGCTGAGGAGCAGGAGCCTGGACATCGCTCCCCCCGTTTTTGGGGTGCTCCCCTGCCCCAGCCGGGACCTGAGGCGAGGGGGGGGGGGGGT